GGTCAGTTGAAGGTAGATTTTGAAGGGCCTGGTGATGGTAGATATTGTAGAGCCTGGTGATGGTAGATGTGGTAGGGCCAGGTGAAGGTAGATGTTGTAGGGTCAGGTGAAGGTAGATGTTGTAGGGCCTGTTGATGGTAGATGTTGTAGGGCCAGGTGTTGGCAGATGCTGTGGGGTCAGGTGATGGTAGATGCTGTAGGGTCAGGTGATGGTAGATGTTGTAGGGTCAGGTGAAGGTAGATGTTGTAGAGTCAGGTGTTGGTAGATGTTGTAGAGTCAGGTGTTGGTAGATGCTGTAGGGCCTGGTGATGGTAGATGTTGTATAGTCAGGTGTTGGTAGATGTTGTAGAGTCAGGTGTTAGTAAATGCTGTAAGGTCAGGTGATGGTAGTTGTTGTATGTTCAGGTGTTGGTAGATGTTGTAGGGTCAGGTGATGGTAGATGTTGTAGGGTCAGGTGATCTTAGATGTTGTAGGTTCAAGTGTTGATAGATGCTGTGGGGTCAGGTGATGGTAGATGTTGTAGAGTCAGGTGTTGGTAGATGCTGTACTGTCAGGTGATAGTAGATGTTGTAGAGTTCAGGTGTTGGTAGATGTTGTAGGGTCAGGTGTTGGTAGATGTTATAGGATCATATGAAAGGTAGATGTTGTAGGGTCAAAGGGATGGTAGATGTTATAGGGTCAGGTGAAGGTAGATGTTGTAGGGTCAGGTGAAAGTAGATTTTGTAGGGGCCTGGTGATGTTAGATGTTGTAGGGTCAAGTGTTGGCCGATGCTTTGGAGTCAGGTGATGGTAGATGCTGTAGGGTCAGATGTTTGAAGGTACATTTATGTAGGGCCAGGTGTTCGTAGCTGTTGTAGGGCCAGGTGTTGTTGGAGCAATGGGGTCAGGTGTTGGTAGATGTTGTAGGGCCAGGTGATGGTAGATGTTATAAGCGTCAGGTAAAGGTAGATATTTTAGGGCCTTGTGATGGTATATGTTGTTGTAGGACCCAGGTGAAGGTAGATGTTGTAGGAGTAAGGTGAAGGAAGGTGTTGTGGGGCCTGGTTTTGGTAGATGTTGTAGAGTCAGGTGCTGGTAGATGCTGTGGGGGTCAGGTGAAAGTAGATGTTGTAGGGCCTAGTGTGGTGGTAGATGTTGTTGGGTCAGGTGATGGTAGATGCTGTAGGGTCAGGTGATGGTAGATGTTGTAGAGTCAGGTGTTGGTAGATGTTGTAGAGTCAGGTGATGGTAGATGTTGTAGAGTCAGGTGTTGGTAGAAGCAGTACGGTCAGGTGATGGTAGATGTTGTAGGTTCAGGTGTTGGTAGATGTTGTAGGGCCAGGTGTTGGTAGATGTTGTAGGGCCAGGTGAAGGTAGATGTTGTAGAGTCAGGTGTTGGTAGATGCTGTGGGGTCAGGTGATGGTAGATGCTGTAGGGTCAGGTGAAGGTTGATCTTGTACGGCCTGGTGATGGTAGATGTTGTAGGGTCAAGTGTTGATAGATGCTGTGGGGTCAGGTGACGGTAGATGATGTAGGGTCAGGTGTTGGTACATTATGTAGGGTCAGGTGTTGGTAGATGTAGGGTCAGGTGTTGGTAGATGTTGTAGAGTCAGGTGCTGGTAGATGCTGTGGGGTCAGGTGAAAGTAGATGTTGTAGGGCCTAGTGATGGTAGATGTTGTAGGGCCAGGTGAAGGTAGATGTTGTAGGGTCAGGTGAAGGTAAATGTTGTAGGGCCTGGTGATGGTAGATGTTCTAGGGCCGGGTGAAGGTAGATGTTGTAGGGTCGGGTGATGGTAGATGTTGTAGGGCCAGGTGAAGGTAGATCTTGTAGGGTCAGGTGATGGTAGATGCTGTAGGGTCAGGTGTTGGTAGATGTTGTAGAGTCAGGTGATGGTAGATGTTGTAGAGTCAGGTGTTGGTAGATGCTGTAGAGTCAGGTGTTGGTAGATGTTGTAGGGTCAAGTGATGGTAGATGCTGTAGGGTCAGGTGATGGTAGATGTTATAGGGTCTGGTGAAGGTAGATGTTGTAGGGTCAGGTGAAGGTAGATGTTGTAGGGCCTGGTGATGGTAGATGTTGTAGGGTCAAGTGTTGATAGATGCTGTGGGGTCAGGTGATGGTAGATGATGTAGGGTCAGGTGTTGGTACATTATGTAGGGCCAGGTGTTGGTAGATGTAGGGTCAGGTGAAGGTAGATGTTGTAGGGCCTAGTGATGGTAGATGTTGTAGGGCAAGGTGAAGGTAGATGTTGTAGGGTCAGGTGAAGGTAGATGTTGTAGGGCCTAGTGATGGTAGATGTTGTAGGGCTGGGTGAAGGTAGATGTTGTAGGGCTGGGTGAAGGTAGATGTTGTAGGGTCAGGTGAATGTAGATGTTGTAGGGCCAGGTGAAGGTAGATCTTGTAGGGTCAGGTGAAGGTAGATGTTGTACGTCCTGGTGATGGTACATGTTGTTGAATCAGGTGTTTCTAGATGCTGTAGAGTCAGATGATGGTAGATGTTGTAGGGTCAAGTGTTGGTAGATGTTGTAGGGTCAAGTGATGGTAGTCGCTGTAGGGTCAGGTGATGGTAGATGTTATAGCATCATATGAAGGTAGATGTTGTAGGGTCAAATGATGGTATATGTTTTAAGGTCAGGTGAAGGTAGATGTTGTAGGGTCAGTTGAAGGTAGATTTTGAAGGGCCTGGTGATGGTAGATGTAGAGCCTGGTGATGGTAGATGTTGTAGGGCCAGGTGAAGGTAGATGTTGTAGGGTCAGGTGAAGGTAGATGTTGTAGGGCCTGTTGACGGTAGATGTTGTAGGGTCAGGTGAAGGTAGATGCTGTAGGGCCTGGTGAAGGTAGATGGTGTAGGGCCAGGTGTTGGTAGATGCTGTGGGGTCAGGTGATGGTAGATGCTGTAGGGCCTGGTGATGGTAGATGTTGTAGAGTCAGGTGTTGGTAGATGTTGTAGAGTCAGGTGTTGGTAGATGCTGTAAGGTCATGTGATGGTAGTTGTTGTAGGTTCAGGTGTTGGTAGATGTTGTAGGGTCAGGTGATGGTAGATGTTATAGGATCATATGAAGGTAGATGTTGTAGGGTCAAGTGATGGTAGATGTTATAGGGTCAGGTGAAGGTAGATGTTGTAGGGTCAGGTGAAGGTAGATTTTGTAGGGCCTGGTGATGTTAGATGTTGTAGGGTCAAGTGTTGGCAGATGCTTTGGGGTCAGGTGATGGTAGATGCTGTAGGGTCAGATGTTGGTACATTATGTAGGGCCAGGTGTTGGTAGCTGTTGTAGGGCCAGGTGTTGTTAGACGTAGGGTCAGGTGTTGGTAGATGTTGTAGGGCCAGGTGATGGTAGATGTTATAGCGTCAGGTAAAGGCAGATGTTGTAGGGCCTGGTGATGGTATATGTTGTAGGGCCAGGTGAAGGTAGATGTTGTAGGGTAAGGTGAAGGAAGATGTTGTAGGGCCTGGTGATGGTAGATGTCGTAGAGTCAGGTGTTGGTAGATGCTGTGGGGTCAGGTGAAAGTAGATGTTGTAGGGCCTGGTGATGGTAGATGTTGTTGGGTCAGGTGATGGTAGATGCTGTAGGGTCAGGTGATGGTAGATGTTGTAGAGTCAGGTGTTGGTAGATGTTGTAGAGTCAGGTGATGGTAGATGTTGTAGAGTCAGGTGTTGGTAGATGCTGTACGGTCAGGTGATGGTAGATGTTGTAGGTTCAGGTGTTGGTAGATGTTGTAGGGCCAGGTGTTGGTAGATGTTGTAGGGCCAGGTGATGGTAGATGTTGTAGGGCCAGGTGTTGGTAGTTGTTGTAGGGCCAGGTGTTGGAAGATGTTGTAGGTTCTAATGTTGGGAGATGTTGGAGGTTTTAGTGTTGGTAGATGCACCGTACCCTACCCCTACCCTACTCCTACCTTACTCCTACTCCTACCCTATTTATCCTTTTTTTCAGAAAGCAACACCCATATGCTGGAATCACACATAGCCGGGTGTGGAAGACTGGCCTTACCGTTGAAGCACATGTAACAATCATGTTCATTCTGATAGCGTGTGTCTTGTTGTCCGGTTGGGTTGAAGTAGGCACAAACAGGTGTTCCCCAACAGCCCCTCTTTACTTCTCCAATGTGTGGAACTGTATTAGTGCTCAGGAATGTCGAAGAAAGTCATTTGTGGTGTACGGGAAAACATGCGTGCATTCCTGTCCACCCGGGACGTTTTACCAACAGGAAACTTCCACCTGCTACAACACGTGTCCTGTACATACTATCGGGATAGGATCACGTTGTTTGAATGGGACATACTGCGTGTCCAACAACAACCAGGTTCTGTTTAATGGTACATGCGTGCCATCCTGCCCTTCGTCCGTGCCTTTCACGAAAGATGGGGTTTGTCGTAAGGAATGCCCAGCTGATACTGTAACAAATAAGTCCGACTGTGTGTCTCCATCAGACTGTGTGGAAAGGGGATATTTCATAGACAACACAACATGTGTTAAAGCTTGTCCTCCTGAAAAACAGTCGATTCTACAAGGTGTCTGTCATTCTTCATGTCCAATTGACAAATCTGTCACCGTAAATGGATCAGCATGTCTATCAAAACAGGAATGTACTGACAAGCTGGGTCATTTCATATACAACAATACCTGTGTCCCCGAGTGTCCACCTACAGCTATGTTCAGTGACCAGGGGTCATGCACAACACACTGTGCCCGAAAAATATGTTCTTGGGAATCATTGCATTTTGGTCACTGAATGCGTCCGCCGAAATAGCGTTATTTTCCGAAATGAATGTATCGACACTTGTCCTACTGAAGCTCCTCATGCCATAGATAATGTCTGCTACTCCACATGCCCCAAGGACTACGTGTTGGATCATGAAAAATGCATAGGTTTACAACAATGCATATCTACTCGTGGCCTCTTAAAGGTGATATTCAACAATACCTGTGTTGATGCCTGTCCACATGACGCACCTTTAAACCACCAAGGAAATGTGTACAGAGTTGTCCCGGTGACACTGTAGTTGAAGACATGCAATGTTTTGACTCTTCTATGTGTTTACACAGCAGTAGGTTCATATCCAACGGAACTTGTGTATCTGAGTGCCCAGGACGAGAGCCGTACGTCGCTAGTGGCAAATGTATGCCGGAATGTCCTGATAACACAAGCCTATTTCCTGGCAACAAATGCGTTTATCAACCAGATGCACAACGATGAAAGACGCGGTCATGTACAATGGATCATGCTTACCTACATGCCCTCCCTTTTGCTAAATATGTACATTCTAGAAGTTGTCTTTCCAAATGTCCGAGAGGGTTTTCCCTAACGGTTCTGACTGCCTAGATAATTCCAACTGCCAAAATGTCGTATACAATGAATCCTGTTTATCATCCTGCCCCAAAGCAGCGAACAGGAAGGACAGGGAACTGTTACTCCATTTGTCCATGGGGGACCAACAGTTATCAGGCTACATGCATAGATGATAACGAGTGTCTGGAAAAGAAATTCTATCTCTTCAATGGTAGTTGTGTGCCAACGTGCCCATTTGGCTTTGCTGGTTTCACAGATTACTTTTGTAAAGACGTAATGAGTGATTATTATGCAATTATAGGTGTGTCAGTTATTCTGTTGATTGCGCTGATGGGTCTGTTTTGCATGATGTACAATTCTAAAGAATCAAGGCTAATGAGTGCACCGGCGAAGCTTCAAGGAGAACAGGTACGTACAAGTGTATATTAAAAAGCAATTCCAAAATTAATTGACTATTGTTAAACCTTCAAATTCATCTTCCTGGCAGAAAAAAAATTCTTAAAAGAACAATGACATGGAAAATGTTGAAAAAATGGTTTCTTTTCATCCCATATCTCAATCTCTGACTATTTTCAGCCAACCTTTGTATTTTGCTTTTGTTACTATAGTGTGTTTGTAACTGTGTGCAACTCTGGGAAAAGGTAAGTACAGGTGGCCATAATAGCTGTTTTAAGTTTGTGCAATGAGTTGCACTGTTATACTGCTTTTACTACTGTAAAACCATACACACTCACTTACTTATGAATGTTTGAACTGAAACATGATTCTGAAGTATACGCCATGCATATTCAGATATATACATCCCATACATCAAGCACTATGTAAAAGTATTGCACAATTTATAATTGCAGCTCACTTGTGTTACGTCGGACAATGACCCTGGACAACAGCAAGACAACGCTGAACATCCGTATGAAGGAAACATGGAATTTAATTCCGATGAAGAGATGCTCCATTGGAAGATCACCGAAATAACCCTCATGATGTGGACATCTGTCATGGAGTTGCGAACTGTTCTTATAATGTGATTGTCCATCCACAAGAGACGACGACGCCGACGACGTACCTCTGCTGCAAGCAACATCAGAAGACGACCCGCTGATCCAGCAAGCTGATGATGCCTTCTTATTTGGTGATGGAACTTGCTGAATTTGTCACAACAGTGAAAGACTGGTTGGTAATGTCTCTTATGACTTGAATACGCCACTGAATATGCATTATTATCTTAGTAATGAAATTACTTTTACCATCCTCAGAAAATGTGCATTTGATATAATTAGGCAAAACATGGATGCTGTCCCAACTTTACAGTTTGACATTGATAACTTGCCTTCCCCTCCAGTCACAGCGTTTCGGCTTCTTTTATTAGCATCTTTATCCTCTTGTGTTTGTTTGTTTGTCATCATTGATCTTTTACCTGTTTTAAACGTTGCTTCTAAAAATGTGATCATACCCATTATTATTATTTCACATATATCTGATGACCAACAGGTAACAGGCTGATGGCCATCAATGTTTTCAAATGTTAATACTACATGTATATAATCTTTCGAAATAATTTCACTTCTTAAACAGACCTTTCGCATCGTGCCATAATTGATAAATATAAATCCATAGGAGTGTGTCTGTCTGTTAACTGGAACAATGCTTGTAGGACTCACTTACTTAGCATAAAGTTGTTTCAGTTCTTGTACTTTGAGAAAATAAAATATTTTAATGTCAAAACTTCGTTTAAATCTATGGTAAGTTTTATTTTGATGAGACAACACCGTTTATGAAGTGTGGGACTTTGGACATATTGGGAGTGGGAGTCTCACAGTGTTCTTTTCTTCCTTGTAACCTTACAACAGCATTCATTGTCTCAACGTGTATCCACCTAGGACATCATTTGTTCTAGTGATGACTCAAGTGAGTAGGTGAGTTTAATTTTACGCCGCATTCAGCAATATCCTAGCTATATGGCGGTGGTGTGTAAATAATCGAGTCTGGACCAGACAATCCAGTGATCAACAACATGAGGCATCGATGTAAGCAATTGTGATACGATGACATGTGTCAAGTCAGCGAGCCTGACCACCGATTCCGTTAGTCGCCTCTTACGTGATGACTCGAATCTTATTTATCTTAATATTGTATATCTTTACATTGATAATGGTGGAGATCTAGCACAAAACGCCACCCTGGGGCTGGATATTGCCCCGATTCTCATATTGCGATATATTGCAATAATTCAAGAGATATTGCAATACATATTGTGATATATATTGACTGGAAGGTTTCTGTCTAAGTGCGTAAATCATAAAATTCATAATAGCTCATTGTGGTGCGACATCGTCTTCTTAGTTGCTGTTACACCATACTTTCAGGCTCCCCGTTCCCATTGTGTATGGGTGTATGCCAGTGGTGCACAGATAAATGATATAGAGCCTTAATGTAGAATGTTTTCACTGAAGTAACTGTATTGCAACAAAGTATAAAACCAAGTTCTGTTGTTCTAAAGAAACACGATCGTATCCTCGAATGAACTAAACAAGCGCTTGATAATGCTACTCTCTACAAACCATTCACGTACATGCAAAGACTTGAAGACAGGCGGTTGTCAGGTGAAATGAAGGTGAAGATTAGAATGGTATCTTTTATAAAACTAAGTTCTGTTGTTCTAAAGAGAAACAAGATCGTATCCTCGAATAGAACTAAACAAGCGCTTGATAATGCTTCTTTCTACAAACCATTCACGTACATATATTGTAACACCCCGCTTTATGTACCAAGACTTTTAGCCATAGGTCTAGCACAGTTATATGATCTAAAACTGGACAGAAAGTTTTCAAAATCTTGCTCACGCCTCACAAAGGATTCACAGAGAGGCAACAATGTCATATACGGAACAATAAGGTTTAAGACCAGCATATTCAGAAGAACTTATAATATTTATGTAGTCCTTCAATATTCCAGGACAGGAAACGGCATGATTGGTCTCGACTTTCTGTTCATTCTCGTTCTCTGTTTACATGTAGAGTGCTCTCCCTTGGACTAGTGTTGCTTCCGGGTCAGATGTAAACAAACCCACGTGGCTGTCTCCTGTCACCACGGTGCTCCAAGAACGACTGTCAGCTTGCTTAATGCCTTGTCGATCTGATATGCAAACATTCTCACCTTTAATCCAACCTTTAATGTTAAACAATAACATAATGCCATAAACGATTTAAGTAGTAGGGATTATTTTATCAAAGCACCGCAACCATTACACGCGTCCTGATTGGTTTGTCGTATTTTCGCACATAACAAGTCATTCGTCACCAGTCGCCCTTTCCGTAACCTCCAAGAAGACTCGTCCCCACCATTCGTCACCACTCGCCCCCTTTCCGTAACCTCCAAGAAAACTCGTCCCCGACTCAATGCTTGTTATGTGCGAAAATACGACAGACCAGTCAGGACGCGTAGGTTGCCGTGCTTTGATACCAATAATCCTGACTGCTTAAATTGTTTATGGCATTATGTTATTGTTCAATAAATCATGAAAAAATGTATCGTCATTGAAAGTACCAATAAAACAAAACCCCATTTCTGATTATTAAACCCTTTTCAGAAATATAATTCGAAATATAAGGTGAACATCTGGCAATAATTACGTCAGAATATGTCTACAACAAATAAGTTTTTCTCTTTCTTTTAGCTGTATCAAGGAGGTTAAATTCTTTAAAATAAATAAGCAAAAGCGAAAAGCAGCAATACAATGTATGAGGTATTTCGGTGATATTAATTACCATTGGAATCAAACAGGAATAGAGTTATCGAGGGGCACGAGTCGGTATTCGGCTTGTCCCGGAATAACACAGTGGGTCACGAATGATAACAAGTATCGATAGGGGGACGAGTCTTCTCGGAGGTCACGGAAAGGGGCGAGTGGTGATGAATGCGGCTTCAGAATATGAAAAAAACCCAGCCGTATTGAAACAGAGTGGTTGTACTGGACTTTGCTAAAAGAATTGTGTACAATATTTTCAGAAGCAATAGAGTAAAACTGACTAAACATACAAGGCAACAATTGTGTCGTAGTATAGGCTGAGTAGAATGTCGTGTGAGTGTACACCAACTGGCCCCTCTCATAACGTGAGTTATTTCCCTTCCTATTTACTCCGGCTCCGGCATCATTGTTGTGTTTTCTAAATCCATTGTTTAACACAATATTGAGTACTGGCATATTTCCTGAATCTTGGAATACTGCAGTAATTATACCATTACTTAAATCAGGACCTACAGCTGATCCCAACAATTATAAGGGGTATATCACTTTTATCGATCAGGAAAAATATTCACATCCATCCTAGATAAACGTCTTCGTGCTTGGACTGATCTGAATGATATATTAACAGAAGCTCAAGCTGGCTTCAGACCCGGCTATTCCACAGTGGACAATATATTTACTCTGCAAAGCTCTCTGTGCTAAATACCTCTCAAGGCCAAAGGCACGATTTTGATATTTTCCTACCTTTGTTGATTTTAGAAAGGCTTTCGATTATGCAGATCGTTCAAAACTTTTATATATGTTGTTAAAAGAGGTTGCCATGGAAAAATGTACAATCTTCTGCATAATATGTATTCATCCGTTAGATCCTGTGTAAAATTGGAAATTACCAAAACTGATATGTTTTTCACTAGTTCAGGTGTACGGCAAGGATGCATTTTAAGTCCGCTTCTTTTATTCTTTTCATTAACGAACTTGCCGCAGAAGTTCATAATAAATGTAAACATGGTGTTTTATATCTCCAGATATTGAGGATATTATGATGTTATTATTTGCAGATGATATTAATATGTTCTCTTACACAATCATTGGTCTCCAGCAACAGTTAAATGTTCTTCATGAATTTTGCACGAGATGGGGATTAAGTGTGAATTTAGAAAAAACAAATGTTATTGTCTTTAGAAATGGCGGTGTTTTAAAAAAAGGAAGAAAAATGGTACTATGGAAATGTAAAACTTAATTGTGTTTCATATTATAAATATCTTGGATTGATATTTTCCTCAAGGTTGAATTGGTAAACAGCGTGTAAAAGTTTGGCAACACAAGCCTACTCTGTCTATCATGTATTCAAAACTAACTCTTTTATCTCTTTCCAAAATGCTTGTACCATCTTTGATTGTAAAATAATGCCTATTCTTTTATATGGATCAGAAGTTTGGGGTATGGCGTATTTTCACTGCATAGAAAAGGTACAAACTACATATACTACCCATCAAAAGTTTAGACTCACTTAAAGCACTCACTATATGTTATGTATATGTATGTGGTTACATCGAAGATGAATTTCTCCACCAACTTGGGGGAACCAACTGAAAACCTTATGCAGATGAATTGCACAAGGATGATGCTTCAAATTGCGAAAGGCATGAGCAAATGTCGTGCATGTGAACAGATGCGTTTTGGTGTAAAGTTTTGTTAAGAATTCGCCAATTTTCACAGATTTTAATCATTTACTGAACTCATGACAATAATCTTTTTCAATGTTACGAATATGTTTTACAATACACCAGTTCATAACTAAACAGTACCTTTAAACAGTATGGAATATTTTGCAAAAGCTAGTTTAGAACAGTGGACAAGTAAGTGGCTACATTTACACTAGTGAGTCTAAACTTTTGATGGGTAGTATATTTAAAACAATTTCTAAATCTAGGTAAATTTGCTTCTAATAAAAGGCTATATATGGAGAAACTGAGTAGATGTAAAATGTTTGTGTTCAAGCAGAATAAGAGCAGTTAAATGGTTAGATTAAAAGTTATTAGTAAAAATGCATTATTTAAAGGTATCTAAACAGTGTTATCTTTTTTGAAATTGCATGATTATATTGGTAAAAGTTAATTGGGTGTCTAACGTTAGATTATTACTCTCTTTTCTACTAGATTTTCCTATGTATGCTTGCCCAAGGGGTTGGCAATGAAGACTGTTTATATCTCTTTTTCAAACAGCGCCTATGTGATATTTTCATTCAAAAGTGGTCTATGTCCATTAGTACTTCTAGATATTTAGAATATTATGCCTCTCATAAGTCTTTGCTAGAACCAGAATTGTATATTTTAAATTTTCATGATAAATCTTTGATAAGAGCTTTATATAAAATTAAGAATTGGTTTTCATGATTTCTGTGTAAAATAGGGCACGTAAACATGGGTATTTCTACAGAATGTAAAGTGATTTGATCTGTCCTAACTGTAATACAGGCGCTATAGAGGATGAGTTCCATGTCATGTTTGTATGTACCCAGTTTCTAAGTTTGCGAAAAAAGTACGTGCCATTTCTTTTCACCACACTGTAATAGATAAACATTCACTGTCAAATTTGTTAAATTCTAAGAATATTATGACCATTAAGTCTGTAGCAATGTATCTCAAAACATGTTTTACTGTGCGTAGCCATAAATGTAACCATGTATGAAACCATATGTTCACGTGACCTGCAAAAGTATTCTGTATCAACAATAATTGTAATGAGGCCTTAAAGGCCAGAATTACTTGAATAAAACTGAACTGAATTGCGTCAGAATATGTCTATAACAAATGGGAAGTTTTCTCTTTCTTTAGCTGTATCAAGGAGGTTTAATTCTTTAAAATATATATAAGCA